GGGTTTGATTACCAAAAAGCCGGACATGTCCGGGAAAAACCGGACGTATGGTAACCCTAGTAGAACCCTGTAGTAATACTTCTGCGCCATGGGTATAGAGAAGAGGGCAAGCTCCACCTTTGAAAGAGGTGTAAATTATATTCACCTCATTGAGTAACCAAAAATATTGTATTCACCCCTCAAAAACTGCTGTATACTCCCCTCCTTCCCATCCTATACCCTGCACATACTGATTACTGGCTACACTTAGGGGGAATCTTCTACAGCATAATTTGTCACGCGTTGCCTCATCAACCAGAGCTAAATTAAATTAGGAATGCAACTATACTTGGATGAACTGATTTCCTACTCATCAGTATTTCTCCTCCAAAACATTAGGACTTTATCTTTTGTCTTGTTCGCTTATGATTTACTAATCAAGTTGCATTTAAGAGAGTAGTAAGTGCTTCCCACATGACCACAAATATTAGCTTGCTTTAATGAACCAGGCAATGCTATCACCTGGGTCATCACACTTTGCAGAGGCTTCAGTCTTGCTAATGGTGCAAAATGATAAGGGCCAACTAACAAGGTAAAAGGAAAAAGGAATTGAGGGTAGACAATGCAATTAAGAGCGGCAATAAACCAAATCCCAATAAAATCCTTAGTTAAATGGAAGCTAAATACTTTTTCACAATCATGATTCTCCTCCTTAGTAAGTTTGATATACACTTGGATTCTCTAAGTATTTACAAGTTCTGTGGCATTCTTCTCTCTCTTTGCATTAAAAACACAAAGATTTAACCTGCAATTGGGGAGGGCTGTATAGAAGACCAAATGAAGATATATGCTGAATGCTAAATAAATATCTATGATGCTTCAGTACCCTGTAGATGGGTATTTCCAGGCTGCCTAAGTTAGAGTTACCATGATGAGCGGTGTAATTGGCTACACAATTTTCAAAAGAATGCTTATCAGTTTGAATGTGCAATACAAAATGGACTGGAACACAAAAATACTGCCAGAGTCTCAAATGCTAGTCAAGTGAATTTGCTTTAATAGTCTTGCAGTAAACATTCTGTATGCTACAAACACTAAGACAGACATGAATACAGTGGGAACCCACCACAATGAAAGATCCAGCCTAATGGAGCAATACAAATGGAGATGCCATCTTATATTAGAGACTAACACAGACATCATACTGCAGCCCTCCTAAAAAAAAGGTGTCTGCATACAGACAGAGACAATGCTGTTTTTAAGCTGTAGATATTTCTTGCTGCTCTTCCAACATCAGAGCACTAAAACATGAGGCTGCACCTCAGTAGAGAGGGTAAGCACCTAGACAATGCAAGCACACTGGATTTTTTGATATTTCATTTAGAAACAGAAGTTTCCTTCAGGGGCAAAGGGAGGAACAAAGTACATACATGGTTCTCCATTTATTGTGCAATACTATAGAGCACAGATTACAGGATACGAAACAGCAGTCTGCAAGATGCATGTATTTTTGCTGGAATTGTTTTCCACACTGCAAGCCAGAAGACTGATCGAAGGTCTGCTCTGCAGTTTACTGACACCAAAAATCGACTTGGAAATGCACCCCCAATGAGTGTTTGTCAGGTCATCCCTGTGGTCGCTTTACAGCCATGAAGGAACCCTACTTTGATTCCAGCCTCTTGCAGCCTAGAACAAGTAGGGTTGAGCTACCATTGTAAACCCAGGAAAATCATTCAGGGAGATAGATGAAAGGATAATTTCTGGTTTTACTGAAGAGTAACTCTTCCTCTCATTTAATGAGTTTCTAAACAAGTCATGTCTAGTCCTTAAAAATCTGCTACAGCAGCGGGCCTCCTCAATGGAAGTGGCAGGGTTAAAGTGTATAGAAATGAATATAACAATTCTACACAATCTGGGAAGCAGAAGAATTCTGGGGAATAAAGATTTGCCACTGAAATGGCTTTTATATCTACATTAAAAGATGAAAACCAAGGCAGAACGTTGGTATGTCGTATATGTGAACCCACTTTAGAGAAAGCAGTGCCATTTATTTTAGCCCTCTTTTCTTGTTATATGCGTCCTTCAAACTCAAGGGAAAATAAAAATCAATACTGTGTTCGAGCAACAAAACTTTATAGTCTGACATATAGCCACTGCATACGTATTGAAACGTATTGCCAGTTTGGTGGTCAACAATAATGCTTTCTACTCCATTGTAGATTCTGATTATAATAAAACAGGATTTTATTTGTCAAGATGGTAGCACATGAACACACACACACACACACACACACACACACACACACACACACACTATTTCAAGCAATAAATGACAGTGATCCAGGAATCAAGACATTCAGGGCTTGTCATTTCTGATCATTTTAGAGAACTCACCACATATACATAATATGTTGTAGCACAGCTCAGAGAAAGAAGTGTATTCTTGAATCGAATTATGCTGATATAGTGGTTCAGGTAAATGTGGAAATCTTGTAGCATGGTTTAAGTCAGAAGTTAGAGATGGAAGATACCTTGGGTCTAATTCCCTCGTACATACCTTCAATTATAGCCTCATCGAGAAGCACTATGAAGCCCCTCAAGAGTTTTGTTAGAAATATTTTACCCCTGCTGATGTTCTAAAATTATTCTAGTCTACTTCTAGTGGTCTCTGTGCATCTCTCCACCATATCATCTTGTACTGTGGCACTTACCTTTAATTTCATGTATTAGCCCTTGGGCAAGCTGCAACCATTACCTGCATTCCTTTTCCTTTCCTGTCTGCTCTGTAACAACTACCTTCCTCTAGTCTGAGAGCAAATGGACTAAAGGTGAAATATATTTATATAATGATTTAAGGAAAGAGTACACAAATATTTGATTTTACTGAGGAGTCTATTTGTTCCACAGTAGTGCCCAGAGTCTCAGGATTGAGACTTTGTTATGCCAGGTGCTATATAAACATATAGGAAAGCAGTCCCTGCCTGAAAGACCCTACAATTTAAGGGTGAGTTTTCATAAACAATCAGCATTGGCCTAACCCTGCTCCCACTGAAGTCTATAGTAAGAGTCTCACAGACTTCAGTGGGAGCATGGTTAGGCCAATGCTAGATGCTTTTGAAAATCCCACTGAGTGTATAGTAATTCAGGCACTGAGCACTAACAGTTTGCCAAATTGACAGGACAGGTTGTAGTAATGGTGTAGAATGTGGTGTCGGTGAAGTACCTAGTCTACCTAAACATTGCATTTCCTCACTTACCATTCTACATTCGAATTTGAAAAAATAGGACAATATAGCATTTCTATTTTGGATATGTGAGATGTCTGAAGTTATTATAGGTTAGCAATCTACAGTGACTTCATCTGTGACAATTCAACATCAAGGTTTTACCGTACTGTACCTGTACTGGAGACAGTAGGGTATAGATAGCTTTTAGGCAACATTACAAAATGAAGACCAGCACACTGTAAAGTACTTTGCTGACCCAGGATTAATTTTAAGAGTCTCTGTTGAAAGCATTTGAACATTTCAGGATCTGTTATTTTTACTAATTCTTAAGTAAGACGGGTTTGATTTTTCTCAAAAAAAAAAATTCTTGTTAATATCAAACTCTTCTCTCCAGAGTTTCATAAACCTTTTTGTGCAAGTTAAGACCTAAGTATTAAACCAGAAATGCTAGATCTGTGGTCATGTTGAATAGTCCTGTGAACTTTCAGGCCTTTCACGGTTAACACTTCAGTTTCTACCAGTGAGGGTTTATTTTCACATTTGTCTGTAAAGTGCCTAGCATACTACTGCCTATACAAATAAGATGAATCAATCCTTACAAATCCTGTGAAAGGCAGGGGAATACTATCCCCATTTTGAATACGGGAAAGTTGACACTAGCAATCAGAAATTCCTGGCTCCTAGCCCCATGATCATGCTACTTTTCCTTTTTGACCACAGGTTAAACAAACAAGTTGCCAGATCACCCCATATGTTCATCCCCACAGTCATTTAGCAGTTGTTAGTATTTGGCCAAACAAGCATTAAAGACAACAGTTCCTGGGCATTGCCCTTTGCTCTGACTAGGTCTGTGCCAATTTAATCCCATTTCTTATCACAACTGAAGACTAATTATGAAATACCCATGAATGTTTCCGGGAAAGAAAGATCACATCAGATCATGATTATATATTCAGGAACTTGTATATAATTTGGCAAGATTGAAATTATGGCAAAAAAAGGTAAAGGAAGGCAGGAAGATACTGTTTCTGTAATTTATACTGCTATGCAAACCCAGCAACTATGTTTTGTTTCCTCAGTAGCCTGTTGCCCTCCTCACCGGATATATTTAAAATTCTACTTACTACCAGAGTGTAAATTTTTTTCCCCCAGAGGAAGGGGATAGAAGAGATCCACCCTCCATTTTTTGTTTTAATTCAAAGTTACTTAACCACATAGTTACTAACCTTTTTCATTGTGTGGATTTCTTTTTTCTAAAATGAAAGAGAAAGGAAACAAGGGTCAAGATAGGTAATAACACTCAAATTCTCCCCCTTATACAAATCTGCTACAACACATTAATTTATAGCTTGCCACCTTATCACAAAAATGTAAGAGGAAGAATCCTCAGCATTTTTGGGGTGTCTAAATTATGAAAACACAGATTTTGATGGTTTTCTTGATAACTATTGTGATTCAATTTACAGAAGCAAAGTATAAGTTTTAGCCTGGCTGAAATCCAATGTTACATTAAAAAAAATCCACAGAAAATTAGTCAGTCACTTAAAAAAAAAAAAAGAAGAGGGAAAGTATTAGAGGAAAGCATGCTAGTTATCACCTGTTAATGAATACTAGAAGACTCCTGCCATATGAAGATTATCAACAACCCATAATTGGGACCTAAGATAGCAAAAGCAAATTTGGCACTCCTAGAATATCAGTTCTCCCTCTGTCAGTAATGACTAGTGGCAATCTGATCATTGATCCCAGACTGTCAAGGTCTAATGGATATGGTAGCTTTAAATTCACAGCATACTGTGTATTTTAGAAAAGACTAAAATGGCTCTAAGGGATCCTTGACATTTTAAAGTTTCTACATATAGGTATGAACAATATCACTCTCAGTGTGAGTACGCCTTTGCACAGGCAGGGTACTTATTCAGAGGGGAAGGACTTTTCAAACGAGACTTGCAGAACAGGAAGAAAATCAAGGAAACACACCTTAAACTTGTTTTCTTCTAAAGAAAAATCAATAAAAAATCAAGGTTTAAAGAAGCTCCACTCCAAGCTTGATCTGCTGTTTGTACAGCCTGGAGTATTCTGTTAACTCCAAGATATGCAAGATTGTCAGTTTATAGCTAACTATCAAATATACAGGTTGTTCGTAGAGTTGCTGCAGCTGTGTTGGTCCCAGGATACAAGAGACACAAGGTAGTTGAGGCAATATCTTTTATTGGATCAACTTTTATTGGTGGTAGGTACAAGCTTTCGAGCTACACAGAGCTCTTCAGCAGGTTTGGGGAAGGAAGCAGAGTATCACTTCCCCAGATCTGAGGAACAGCTCTTTGTAGCTCGAAAGCCTGTACCTTCCACCAAGAGAAGTTGGCCCAATAAAAGATAATACCTCACCTCCCTTGCCTCTCAAATATAAAGGTGTATATTTGATACTTAAACATACTTGTATGTCTAATACTTACTTGGAATCTAAAATAAGACAGTTACCTTTTCCGTAACTGGTGTTCTTCGAAATGCGTTGCTCATGTCTATTCCACAGTAGGTGTGTGTGCTTGCCACGTGCACCGGTGCTGGAAGTTTTCCCCCAGCAGTACCCGCAGGGAAGTGCCCCAGCAACCCCTGGAGTGGCACCTCCATGGTGCGATATAAGGGGCGTTGCGTGCTCCCCCCACCCTCAGTTCCTTCTTGCCAGACAACTCCGACAGAGGGGAATGAGGGCGGGATGTGGAATAGACATGAGCAACATCTCGAAGAACACCAGTTACAGAAAAGGTAACTCTTTTCTTCTTCGAGTGATTGCTCATATGTATTCCACAGTAGGTAATTCCAAGCTATATCTGTTGGAGGTGGGTAGGAGTTCAAAAATTCTCAGGACGGAGCACAGCCCTGCTGAACCTGGCGTCCTCTCTGGTTTGGGAGATGATCGCATAACGCGAGGTGAAAGTGTGAACTGAAGACCACGTAGCAGCCCTACAAATGTTCTGGATGGGGACATGGGCTAAAAAGGCAGCCAACGAGGCCTGCGTCCAAGTCGAGTGCGTCTTCACAACTGGTGGTGGGGGGATTCCCACCAGGCCATAACAGGTACGGATGCACGAGGTGATCCAGTTGGAGAGCCGCTGAGTGGAGATTGGCCGACCTTTCATGCGCTCGGCCGAGGCAATGAACAGTTGCGAGGACTTTCTGAACGGCTTAGTCCACTCCAGGTAGAAAGCCAGAGCCCGTCTCACATCCAGCATCTGGAGGTGGCGCTCCTCACTGGACGCATGGGGCTTGGGGCAGAGGACCAGCAGAAAAATGTCCTGACCCATGTGATAGGCGGAGACCATCTTTGGGAGGAACGAAGGGTGTGGACGGAGCTGGACCTTATCTTTATGAAACATCATGTACGGGGGCTCGGAGGTCAGGGCCCTGAGTTCCGAGACCCGCCTAGCTGACGTGATCGCAACCAGGAAGGCCAGCTTCCACAAGAGGTATGACCAGGAGCATATGGCTAGCAGCTCAAACAGGGGCCGCGTGAGATGGGCCAACACCAGGTTTAGGTCCCACTGCGGGACAGAGGGCTTAACATACGGGAAGAGACAATCCAACCTTTTAAGGAATTAGCCAGTCATAGCATGGGAGAATACCGTGTGACCTGCATCAGGGGATGGAAGGCCGATATGGCCGCCAGGTGCACCTTGACTGACGAGGGCGCCAGGCCCTGGGCTCTAAGGTGGAGGAGGTAGTCCAGAATAAGCTGGATCGGGGCGGCCACCGGGGAAACGCCCCACTCGTCCGCCCATCTGGAGAACAGAGACCACTTTGCCAAGTAGGCTCGGCATGTGGAGGGACGTCTGCTTTCTAGGAAGACGCGCTGAACCCCTTCTGAGCACGTCCTTTCCTCCCTACCTAACCATTGAGCAGCCACACCGTGAGGTGGAGTGCCGCTTGGTCGGGGTGGAAGAGGCAGCCCTGGGAGAGCAGGTCCGGGCGGGACGGCAAAGGCCACAGCGGGGCAACCGCCAGGCCAGTGAGGGTCCCGTACCATGCTGCCTGGGCCATGCTGGGGCAATCAGAAGGACCCAGGCCTTGTCCAACTTTATCTTTTCCAGGACCTTGCTGATCAGCGGGAACGGGGGCAATAGAGAAACTGGCTTCACCAGGACAGGAGGAAGGCATCGGATATAGCGCCCCATCCCAGCGCCCCTTGGAGCAGAACCGGGGACAGCGAACAGGTCCACCTGGGGAGTTCCCCACACTTGGAAAAGTCTGTGTACCACCTCTGGGTGGAGAGACCACTCATGCTGAGAGAAGTTCGTGCTCAAGCATTCCGGACACCCGGCAAATGGAAGGCCTGTAGGCAGATGTTCTGGGCTATACAAAAGTCCCACAGCCTGAGGGCTTTGCGGCAGAGGGCAGAGGATCGGGGCCCGCCTTGCCTGTTGATATAGAACATCGAGGCAGTGTTGTCCGTGAGTACCCTGACCACCCGACACTCCACGTCCAAGCGGAAGGCCGTGCACGCCAGCCATACCGCCCTGAGCTCCTTGGCGTTTATGTGGAGGGTCAGAATCTGAGCCGAGCACAGATCTTGGGTCTGAACATTCTCCACGTGGGCCCCCCATCCCAGGTCCACCTCGTCAGACACTAGTTCCAGTGACAGGGCCCTGCCCCTGAACGGGACCCCTTGGAACATGTTTCTCAGGAAGGACCACCACCGTAGGGAGGTGATCACTGGTTCGGACACTGTGAGGACTTTATCCATCCTGTCCCTGGCTGGGAGAACGCCGAGGCCAACCAGAGCTGGAATGGCCTCATCCTGAGTCTGGCATGACAGATCACATGACCCAAGAGCTGGAGGCACACTCTAGCTGTTGTCACCGGAAACCTTGTGACCATGTCAATGAGCCCCTTCAGGGTCTCGAACCTGTCCGGTGGGAGGGAGGCTTTGGCCAACGAGGCGTCCAGGGAACACCCCGATAAACTCTATGAGTTGTATCGGGACTAACGTGGACTTGGTGTTGTTTACCAACAGGCCCAAAGTGGTGCACGTAGACAGAAGGAGCGCCATGTGATCCAGCACCTGTGACCGGGAGCTGTCCTTGACCAACCAGTCGTACAGATAGGGGAAGATCTGGACCTCCTGGCCCCTGAGATAGGCCGCCATCACTGACATACATTTTGTGAGTACCCTGAGGGCAGTGGACAGGCCAAACGGGAGGACGGTAAATTGGTAGTGTTCCTGCCCCACCGTGAAACGGAGGAAGCATCTGTGTCGTTCGAATATACGAATATGGAAGTATGCGTCCTGCAGATCGAGGGCAGTGTACCAGTCCCTGGGATCCAGGGAGGGGATGATGGAGGCCAGGGAGACCATGCAGAACTTGAGCTTCACCATGTATTGGTTCAGGCCTCGCAGGTCCAAGATGGGCCTGAGCCCCCCCCTTTGGCCTTCAGGATAAGGAAATAGCGGGAGTAGTACCCCTTGCCTTTGAACTCCCCAGGTATCGCTTCCACCGCTCTTAAGCCCAGGAGCCTCCCCAACCTCCGGGGGTCCCCCAGGAGGGATGGAGGCGAGTGTGGTGGTTGGGCGGGGAGGAAGTAAACTGGAGGGTATAGCCCCGGGAGATGGTGTTGAGGACCCATCGGGCCGAGTTCAGCCGCGACCACTCCAGGAGGAAAGCACACAACCAAGTGGAGAAGGGAAGCTTGATTGAGATCCCTGATGAGAACTGGCAGGGCGCCCTTGGGCATCCCATCAAAACCGCCTTTTCTCTGCTTGCTTGCCCTTGGAGGACCCAGGCTGGGAGGCAGGCTGAGACTGCTTCTGTAGGCTCCTCTTATAGTCCCGCGACTTCTTATAAGAGATATTGTATTTTGACTGGGTGGCCTGAGTGGGAGTCTGCTGCGGCTTAAATTTAGGTTTAGCCGGAGCCAGAACATAGAGACTCAGAGTCTGGAGAGTTGTGCGGGAGGCTTTCAAGCCATGCAGCTTTGTATTCATTTGTTCCACAAACAGAGCTTTGCCGTCAAATCGGAGATCCTGCAGGGAGGTCTGCGCCTCACTGGACAGCCCAGAAAGCAGGAGCCATGACGCCCTTCTCATGGACACCGCGGAGACCATGGACCGCGCGGCCGTGTCCGCTGCATCCGAAGCTGCCTTCAGGGTTGCCCTGGCAGCCGCTGTGCCCTCCTCCACCAGCACTTTGAACTCCTTCCTGTCGCGCTCCTGGAGGGAGTCCTTGAACTTAGCTAGGGAGCCCCGCAGATTGAACTCATGCCGGCCCAGGAGAGTCTGGTGGTTTGCCACCCGTAACTGGAAGCTCGAGGATGAATGAATTTTTCTTCCAAATGAGTCCAGCCTCCTTGAATCTTTATTTTTCAGGGCAGGGGCTGGTTGGCCCTGTCGTTCCCTGTGGTTGACCGACTCGACCACCAGGGAGTTAGGAGGAGGGTGGGTGTATAAGTATTCAAGTCCCTTGGTGGGTACAAAGTACTTGCGTTCCGCTCTCTTAGAGATGGGGGCCAATGAGGCCGGGGTTTGCCACAGGGCATTTGAAATTTTCACCACCCCTTCGTGGAGAAGCAAGGCCATCCTGCCCGGTGCCAAGGAGGACAATATATTAACAGGGAGACCAAGGGCTCCTCCATCTCCTCTGCTTGGAGGTGGAGGCTTGATGCCACACTTTTTAAGAATTCTTGGTGAGCCCTAAAGTCCTCCTGTAGGACGGAGGGAGGAGGGGCCGTAATCGCCTCATCCAGGGAGGGTGAGGATGCCGGAGCGGTACGTTGTGTGTCCACCGGCACCAAAGGGTCCACCACCTGGTCAGTCTCCGGGTACAGTGCCAAGGATGTACATGCCACCGACTCCTTCCTCAGAAGTCTGAAGAGGGAGGCTGATGGTCCTTCTGAGGCTCCAGCCACCAAGCGAGCCCACACCGGGGGCTGCGTTGGGGGCCACGGTGCCCACTGGTAACATTGAGCTGGCTATGGGGCCCAGTGCCACTGTAGCTGCTGTGGCGCTGGCTGTTCGGCCTGGCCCATCAATGGACGACTACAAAGGGAGGCAAGGCTGACATTCAACCTGCCGCTGTCCCTGAACCGGGAGAAGCGGCGGCACCAGGAGCGATGCCAACCATGGGGCCGCGATCCCAACGTGGAGGACCGGTACCGTCGGTAACAGCTGCTTCGCAATCGACGCCCAGGGCTGCAGAGGCAGTGCCGTGGCGGGGTCCTGGAGCAGGACACCGAACGGGAACGACATAGACGTTCGTGCTGTGACTGGCTGCGATAGCCCCTCTGAGACGAGGACCTTTGGCATCATCTGCCTCAGCCCCATCGGTGTTCACTCCTCAAGGTGGAGCGGTGCCGAGAGTCTCGGTCAGACGGAACCCAACCAGACGGTCTGGTGGGCGTCGAGGGTGATCCATGTGGACTTTGCCCTGAATGGCTGCTGGGCGGCGAACGGCATCAGGAATGTTCCCTCGACTGAAACCGGTACCGAGCCGGGGGCGACTGCAGAGATCCCAGTAGTGACTTACCTCTGGAGCGCGAGGCCGACAGCGGCGGTGCTCCTGGTATCAGCATGGGCATAACATCCCGGGCCACCTGTGGAGGCCATCCAGGGCCTCCGGTGTGAAGGGCATCCGGACATCCAGGGAGGCCTACACCGCTCGACTTGAGTCAGAGGCCTAGAGGCCGGTGGGAATCGAGGGCTGCCTGACATGGGTCTAGCCTCTGTCCCGGGTTTACTCCGGTACTACAGCGAAGGTAGCCTCTTTCTAGCCTTCTTGGCATGCCCCGTGGACAGGGAGCAGTGCTGACTAGTCGATGGCGCTGAAGGATCACCGGGCACCGACACTTACTGTGGAATACACGTGAGCAATCACTCAAAGAAGAACTGCATGCTTCTGAGTACTCAAGTATATCAAAAGTTTGTGGCACCTTATTCCTTTATGAAATTAATATGGTGAACTTTTATATGATCTATGATCCACCAAGCAAGGGTCTTCCTAGACTTTAAATAGAAATTAAAAGGAATCTGGTGGGTATTTTATACACTGTTAGCTCAAATTTAGAAAAACAAACCAACAAACATGGATTTATGCATTCAAAATGAATGGTCTAAAAAAATTCTAAGGGGTCATTACATTTTAGTTTTAGGGCTAGCCAAGAATCTAAACCATAAAAATGTTGACTTTTTTACTTCAGCTTTTAATATTTACTTCTAGCTCCCTTAAAAGAGATTCTTTTAAGATATGGAAGAATGGAAGAGCATCAATTACGGCAAAGTAAGTGGCATTAGTATAATGAATGACAACGATTTCAAAATCTGAGAAAGTTAATGTAAGAGCGGGCAAGTTACATGAGACTGACAAAAGGTTGATAACAGTTCCCAGCATTCTCCAAGTTTGCAACAAGAAAATACAATGCAGAGCTTAGGGTTAAGCCTGTTGGTCAACAACCAATGATTTAATGCACAAGTTGGATATTAAATACACATGGGCAGCAGGACTGATTTCCATAGCCACTCCTCTTCCTTTTATAGTTTCATCTATGCAAGATTTTGGTGTTTAGTAGCAAGAGTAAAAATGTGATCTACTGAATTCAAAATTCCAAACCAGACTGATATATTTTGAAAGCTATGTCAAATTTACACGAGTTGCACTAAGACTGGCGCTCTACAGTTCAAGGGCATTCCAGGCTTCTGTTATCTTCACTGAGTGAAGGTTGATTGGTATATTTACACAAGAGACTCTTGCTTTACATTTATTGGAGATTGTTTCAACAAACCTGAGCAAATAAAATGAAGCACCAAAGTGAGGAGAATCTGATTTCACACACACTGAAAAATCCGAACCCCACGCATAAACCCCAAAAGAGATGGCAACAATGTGATTTAGATAGTCTAAGAAAAAAACTACAAAGCCTTTTAGTGCACTTACCAGCAAAGCATTTGGAACAGAGATTCATAGTCTTGCTGGACCTAGGGCAAGAAAAAAAAAAAAAAAAAAAAAGAGTAGAGCTAAAAATTCATTTTAATAATTCTAAGCAATACACCAGGAGTTTTCAGAAGAAAAACAGGAGTAGGAAGGGGCAAACATTTAAATGGCTAGGCACCTATCCAAGTCATCAGTGGCAAAGGACTGGCAGAACTAAAGGCGGGCCGGGAGGAAAGAATCTTTTTTCAACTTGGGAAAGAGCTTTCAAAGCATGGGCTTCCAAACATTTATCCTAGCATTCATAAATAGCCTGTAGGATAACAGGTATGATAGACACGAAAAGCTGAATTATTCCACTTGAAGCAACAGTTTTTCAGGCCTGGCACATCTCCCATTATAACATTTTAGGAAATATGTTGTTTGTATAGAAGAAAACATGTCTACACAAGATTTGATTTGTCCAATATTCCTGATTCAGTTCAGACCAAACGCCATAAAAGTCACATTTTGGGGTTACACAAGAAAGCACTTTCATAGTATCATAGAATACTAGGGTTGGTAGAGACCTCAGGAGGTCATCTAGTCCAATCCACTGCTCAAAGCAGGACTTTAACACCATCCTGAGTAGGGTTGAAGTACATACTGGTAAGCACGGTTATAAAGGTTATACCCAAACTGCCCATGCTATAACAGTTCCAAAAATATAGAGGAACTCACTTTTCATGGGCTGTCTACCTGGAACTTCTCACTAGCACTAAATTAGCTACGTTTCTAAAGGTAAAGACAGATGTAGGAACAAAAACAATGGAGCCTACCAAAATAATTACATTTCTAGTTTAAAATCAAACAAGGCTGGAATTTTGAAAAAGAACCCATAACTTGCACAATATGTTATAAAAATCTAGGCACTCAATGGAGACCATTGTAGTATCAAATGGCAAATATTTCTATAAGTGTCTTTTCAGACCAATTACTTCTCAGATTAAATATTTTCCTGGTTGAATGATAGAAACATTCTAAGTGTTTTGCAAACAGGGCATTTTCAATTATTTTCCTGTAACATAGGGAAAATCCAGATATGATTACTCATATCTTAGTGCCAGGCATTTCAGGACATTAAGATGCTTCTGAAATCCTGCACAAGTGAAAGTTGGTTTATAATTGACTAAAAATCCCAGTAAAATACAGGTTACTGCAGGTATGAGTCAGACATACTTGCCAGCTACAGCAGGAGATGCACAGACACACACACACACACACACACACACACACACACACACACACTAATTTTAAATATAAGCAGTATGTGCAAAGGAGAAACATTCAACCTAGGAAAAGAAAAGCAGAGCAGCCCTATCCAGCCATACAAATACATCATATGGTTGATATAGACCCAGATACTCAGTCTGTGCATTGACATTCTTCACAGATTATCTACCTTCAGAAGAACTGCAATTAAAAACAGCAGGTGAGCCCACACCTACAGCATTAGCATGCTGCAGTCCAGTACTCACTGCTTGTGAGTTAGACATTCTGGACTAACTCACTATGCCAGGCAGGAGCTTCTCTGCAAAACCACCAAACCCCAAAGGGCAGTCAAGACAAAACAAGGCAGAGTAGGGGTGGTTCATACTGATGACATCAGAGCTGGCAATGACAGAGGCATAACCAACCTGCCTCAGCTGCTAGTTATCAATCCAAAGTCTTCATAGGATTTTTTTTTTTTTTTTAAAAAAGCATGGACAGGGAAGGAAATATATTGCTATGTTAAAGGGAAAAAATGACACTCATTCACCACACAGGAGCTGGATGTTTTGAACGAACGGTGCTATGAAACAGTCCCCACATATTCATCTTACGGGCTGAATAACTTCAGGTCACTACACAAAATCTTTCAGTTTCTCGTTCACATAAAAAGGAAAGTTCACAGTGGTCAAACACCACACAGAAGAAAGGAGATGTGCTGCTACATATTTGGCACATCTTTTTTTTAACCCCACAATAAAATAAAAGAATAGAGAACAAGTTGAGCAGGTTGTACATTCTGGATTCAGTCTCTATTACTAAATTTCAGTTCAATGCTATGCAGCAAGGCAACTGAAAAACAAAGCAGAAAGAATCAGAATCAGCAAGATAGTGAAGAGATTTAGAATCAAATCAAAGCGCTAGGAATTGAGGTTGCATTCAGCCAGCCCAGAGGAATGAAACTGCCAATGCAAGAAATTAAAGATAAAGCAAAATCCTAAAAAGGCTTGTTTATTTTGGATACATTAACACAAGCTGATGAGAAACTTAACAATTCTTTCTTACAAAGCTGTATCTTGCGTAGTACTAACTGCAAAACAGATCATCCTACCAAAATCCATCAGTTTCTGACTCCAATCAATCCATCGTTTTCCTTTAAAATAACATGGAAGATCTTCAGATGGGGGCAATAGTGTTTATAACCCAATTCAACAAAGCACTTAAGTTCCACTGAATTCACACTTAGGCCTGATCTACACTAGAAAGCTAGGTCAACCCAACTGCATTGCTCCGGAGTGTGAAAAAATCCACACCTCCGAGCAACATAGTTAAGCTGACCTAACCCCAAGTGTAGACAGTGCTAAAATGACAGAAGAATTCTTCTGCTGACCTAGCTACCACCTCTCGGGGAGGTGGATAACCTAGGCCAACAGGAGAATCCCTCGTAGGGTGGCCCAGGTGCCCGGTTTTCGACCGGCAAGTCTGGTCGAAAAGGGGACCTGACAGTATCCGGTCAGATCTACTGACCCGACACCCAAAGTCTGGTTACTGCGAGCGGGGAGGTGCTAGGTCATCACCCACGCCAGCCCCTACCTCAGCTGGAGCCACCTCTTATCTGTGTCAGGAGGCTGCAGCTCCCAGCCCCAGCTCTGCAGGCGAGTCCCTTCTGACCTGGGCGAGGGTGGGGAGGGTAGCAGGGAAAGAGCAGCAAATGACAAGAAGGTGGGGGGGAAGACGAGTGGATGGGGGGGGAGCCTCAGGGGTAAGAGGCAGGGTAGGGGAGGTTCCGGCACTCCTGCTGGAGTGTCCAGTTTTTAATTACCACCAAGTTGGCAACCCTAATCCATCCCAATGATGTAGGTAGTGTCTAAATTGCAGCATTTAAGTGTAGACAAGCCTTTAGTCACAAAAGGTCACTTCAGAATTCAACATACTTAAGACTCAGATTCAGCAAAGCATTAACAACATACTTAACTAGGGAAATGGACACCACTACCAGCCTGTGGCAAATGGGGAAGGGGTGGGAGGGCTGGCATTTATAACATGGGCCAATCATGTTGCTCCTGAAGTCAACAGAAGTCTAGCCACCCACTCCACTGGAAGCAGGACTGAGCTCACAACAAAACTAAATAGAAAGTAGTACTTTCTTTTGGTTAGAGCACAGGACTGGAAGTCAGGAGAACAGAGTAATCCTAAATCCGACAACAGTTCAGTTAAGGCCACAGCATAGATGTCACAGAATCAATATTTTGAAAATAAAATACATATGATTTTTTTTTAATTTTAGTGGCGTTTAGCAAAAAAGCCTCTACTAAATGCTACACATTGGTATAACTGGATACACCAGTACGAAACATGTATGAGTATGCCAGTTACACACAGCTATACCCCAGAGGTGGGCAAACTACGGCCCGCGGGCCACATCCGGCCCACGGGACCCTCCTGCCCAGCCCCTGAGCTCCTGCCCCGGGAGGCTAGCCCCCAGCCCCTCCCCTGCTGTTCCCCTCCCCCGCCGCCTCAGCACGCCGTGCTGCCGGCACAATGCTCTGGGCAGCCGGGCAGCGCAGCTGCAGAGCCGCAGCCTGACCCAATGCTCTGTGCTGCGCGGTGGCATAGCTGGCTCCAGCCACAGCCGCGCCGCCAGCCACCGGTGCTCCAGGCAGTGCGATAAGGGGGCAGGGAGGGTTGACTAGAGGGCAGGAGAGTTTGGGGTGGTGGTCAGGGGGCAGGGGTGTGGATAGGGGTTGGGGTGGTCAGAGGGCGGGGCATGGGGGGGTTGAATGGGTGCAGGGGTCAGTCGGGAAGGAGGGGGGGTTGGATGGGGCAGGAGTCCCGGGGGGGGAGGGGATTCAGGAATGAGGGGGGAGGGTTCCGGAGGCGGTCAGGGGACGGGGGGGTTGGATGGGTCAGGAGTCCCGTGGGGGCCGTCAGGGGGCAAGAAGCAGGGGGCGGGGGCCAGGCCATGCCTGGCTGTTTGGGGAGGCACAGCCTCCCCTAACCGGCTCTCCATACAATTTCCAAAACCCGATGCGGCCCTCAGGCCAAAAGGTTTGCCCGTCCCTGCTATACCTGATCTTGCTGTAAGTGGGTATGTAATACCACAAAAGTCTCATACTGTTTCTGTACAGTGCAATATAATTTTTAACTTAAAGTGAAACTGACTAAAGGGTTCCATCGTATATTTCACTGTAAATGATTAATAGCTAACCCATCTCCCCAAAACACTGGAAGATAAGGCTGAAACTGAAAAATTCTTAATATATCTTCAGAAAAAGCAAGCCGCTACAGTTGTTCATAAAGTTCAGTTGAATTATTTTTGTAAAGGTGAGGAAGGTATCTGGTTCTAGAACTCCAAGTCAATATAGAAATGGGGAATCTTGTGCAGGGTGGATTAAAAAAAAAAAAATCAAGGATTTTTTTTATTTAAATTGGATTTTTTATTTTATTTAAAAATTACAATATTATTTTCTTTTTACAAATAAACCTGTTTAAAATGAAATCTGAATTGAATACAAAATATGTTAAGGATTAATCTTATTATAATCTCTTAAAACATTTAAATAAAAAAGAAATATGTTGAATCAATAAGCCTCTATCAGGAAGTTTGAGTTAAAGACTACTAGTCTATATAAAGAATGGGGGAGAGGGGAGAGAGAATCTGAGGGCAGGTCTACAGTCTGAGATCAATCCACCGGCAGTCAATTTAGCGGGTCTAGTAAAGACCCACCAAATCGACTGCAGATCGCTCTCCAATCAACCCCTGTACTCTACCCCCAACGAGAAGATTAAGGTAAATCGA